TCTTTAAACCTTGGTTATTTCATCAGTTTTTTTATTCAACATTATATCTGTTCAATACAATGTTCAATATTGTAGTTACACAAATATTTGTTTGCTAAAATAACTGTTTTACTTTTAACATTGATGGAAAAACAAAAGTTTACACAATTTGTAATATTATTTCAAAGATAATGGTTGTAGACTAAAAATAGGATGTGTAACTTCCAAGTCTATAGGGGGAAAAGTAAGTGGAACAAAGAAATTTTCAACAAAGAAAAAAAACTATAAGTAACCTAGAAGTAGAAAGTCTAGTAGAAAAATGGCAAAGAGAATGAGTGAACAGTTCACAAAAGAAATAAAAATGCACAACATTACTAAAACCTAAAGAATGAAATAATATCAATATAGTATAATGGGCACGCTTATATGCTACTAGCTGGGGCATAGAATTCTTCTAGCCTCTTTAGATAACTTTGTGGCCATATCTATTAACATGTAGAATGCTCTAGGCTTAAATATGTTTTTGCTATAAATTTTTTCAAACATACACACAAAAAAAGAGAATAATACAATGGTCCTCAACTACCCATATTTCAGATTCAATAGTTCAGTAATTATCAAATTATCAAAATTTGCATGTAAACAAATGTGACTACATCAAACTACAGAGCTTCTGCATGGAAAAAGAAACCATCATTAAAGTAAAAAGGCAGCCTGTTTAGTAGAAGATATTGCAAACTACATGTCAAACATGGCGTTAATAACCAAAACATATAAACAACTCAATAATAACACACAACCTGATTAGAAGATGGGCACAAGATCTAAATAGGCATTTTACCAAAGACATAGAGATGGTCAATAGATATATGAAGAGATGTTCTTCAGTGCTTATCATAAGGGAAACACAAATCAAAGCCACAATGAGCTATCACCTCATTCCTGTCAGATTGTCTATTATCAAAAAAGATAAGAAATAACAAGTGTTGGTGAGGATGTGGAGTGAAAGGAAGCCTCAAACTTATTTGTGGGAATGAAAATTGATACATCCATTTTAGAAAGCAGCATGTAGGCTCCTTAAAATTTTTTTTTAAATGGGGGCCCTCCCTGTTGGCACAGCGGGTTAAAGCACTGCACTGAGAAATTTAAGCCACTTCCGCATGAGCTCGATCCCCGCCTGCCCCGGAGGTGACCACTTGGCGTGGCAGACCTCTCCTGACCCGCCCGCTGCTCCCCTTAGCACTGTACTTCATCGATCTGCCTGTTCTGCTCCCCACTCTGTCCCTGGTGAATCCTGTCACCCTCCGCATCTCTGGCCTGTACTCCAGTTCTGTATGAATAAATAAATAAACCTTTTTTTAAAAAAAAATTTTTTTAAATAGAATTGCCATATTGCCATATGGTCCTACAATTCCCCTTTGGATATTTATCTGAAGAATATGGAAACACTAATTTGAAAAGATACATGTACCTTTTGTTCACTGAAGCAATTTCTGCAAAGGCCAATGTATGGAACCCATTGATGGATGGATGGATGGAAAAAGATATTATATGTTTGTTAAATACACATATATACTCATATATATGTGTGTGTGTGTGTATACTACTCAGCCCTAAATAAGATGAAAGTTTGCCATTTACCACATCAAAACATCTATGGACTTGGAGGGGTTATGCTAAGTAAAGTAAATCAAAAGGAGAAAGACATATACCATATGCTTTCTTTCATATATGAAAGATAAAGAAAGAATGCAAACAAACAAAACTAAAACAAACTCCTAGACTCACATAATGATGGGTACCATCAGGATAAGGGGTTGGGGGAAGAACAGGTAGATGAGTAAGTTGGATGGTAGTGAACAGTACTTAGTGATGGGCATGTGAGGCATGCTGAGTTGTGAATTTATACACCTGAAACTTATGTAGTGCTGTCAATCATTATTATCCCAATTAAAAAAAGAGCTTTCAAAAAAGATTTTGGTACCCTTGCCTTACCCATTCCTGTTTTCTTCCTTCTATTCCCTCCTCCTTGCCCTCCTCTTCTCTCCCTCCTCCTTTTCCGCCTCCTCCACTTTTTGTTATGTAAGTATTCTAAAGCAAACCCCAGATTTCACATCACTTTATTCTGTGTCTAAGAAATTTCATCATTTATTATACCTAATAAGAGGGCCTTAACCTGACCATTCTGGCACCCTTATTTTCAGCCACTAAGGCTGTAAGAAATAATATTTTGTTGTTTGTAAGCTATCCAGTCTGTGATATTTTATGATAGCTGCCCAGACTGAGGCAACATCCTTGCCAACACTTATTATTTACATTTTTGAATCACCAAACCAAGTCTTACCTTACTTGCAGTTTTGACTCTCAGAAACGGAACCTCAAACCAGCCAATCAATCAGGACTCTCCTGATCAGTCCCAGTTAGGATTTGCCTGACATGTCCCTGCTGCACCCTGAAGACAAGTAACCTTACAACCACCAATGCACTTTTTTTGCCTGGCATAACTTCCTAGTTCCTGTTGGGATACATTTAATAAGGTTAAAAACTAAGCCTCCACTCTGCCCAGCAGCCAGATTTGGGAGGCCTGAATGATAAGGGCATTGGTACAGCTGCCTTAGGGACTGACCACCATGACCAGAAAAACCAGCCCAGCTCCAGGAATGCAAAAGCAGAGGCAGCATCTGATACCAGACCTTCCAGCAGACAAAGGTGCAAACAGCCTCTAAGTCAGAAAGCCCATGAAAACAGTACAAAAGAGAGAGAGAGAGAGCCTCAAGTCCCCCTTCATGAACAGACTGCTCCCCTCTTGCCCACTGTTTCTCTTGGCACAGCAAATCTGTGTTTCCTATTATCTGCTGTCTCTGGTGAATTCTTTCCCCCCACACATCTAGCTTCACCTTGATATTTCTCCCCACTACAGTTTCTACTCCCTCAGGCCTATAAAAGCCTTTCAATGTTATTAGCTCTTTGGAGCTCTCTTGTACCTACTAGAGCAGATGTTGCTAGACTCATGAATCACTGAGTACTCAGCCGAATTTTGTTTTTGAACAATCAATAGTAGAGAAGTGAAAAAGCAGGCAGTTTCAAATGGTGTAACACACACAGAGTTCTATCTTTGCTAAAGGACCAAAAGCCTCCTTATCCATCCCTGGCCCCTCTCCACTACCCAGAGCAGTGGCCACAGTAGTCTGACTATAAATGTCCTGACCATCACCACTGGGTAGGAATTCAGCTCGGAATCTGAGAGGGGAAGTCAGATGCCTCCACCTGGGAGTGGTCAGAAGGTGGGCAAACCAGAGAGCACCGTCTTCTTTCTCAGACATGCTGCTGCTGGCCTCAGCCAGAAGTCTAGTTTGCCAGGCCTTTCCATTAATCAAAGGAAGTTGGAAATTCTGAAAGTATTGAAAAATCTTACTTTTGAGATGCCACTTCAAATTTTAAAAGGAAAAAAAAAAGTCCTACTTGGGCCGGAAAAAAACAACTATTGACTTTATTTGGACCCTGCTTAAACTCTGCCACTGTTGCAGCGAGAATGCTAAAACAAAGGTCACAAAGAGAAACTTGTCCCTTTGGTATTACTGTATTAAACTAAAAGTAACTGCAATCAATTCTACAAACTTTCTGGTTTCCAATTCAAATAGAATTTTACAGACTTTCCCTTTAACTTCCTTGAATTGTGTACTTGGTCTCTAGTCACTAAGTCAGAAAATCTTGGTTCCCAGCAACATTAGCTTTACTTTCTTTGTCCTGCTTTACATAAAATAGTTTCAAAATAATACACATTAACAGTAAATTAAGTTCAAGGTTTATTTGGAGCCCCACTGTGTTCATTCCACTGTGATGTTCAGGATGAAACACACATTTTACAAAAATTGATGGGAACAACTCTGATGCTGACAAGTGAAAACGTCCCCCCAATTGTTTTAATGTTGGTGGGATGGTCCACAATATAAGGACGCAAACGCATTTTCCCAGAAGGCTCGGAAGGCAACTTGGCTGTCTGTCTATCCGCAGGGAAGGGAACAAGCCTCTGGGGACGTAGGTTAAGTTTTCTGAGGGTACTCACCTCCCGTGCAAAACTCAGAAGCCGCTTCTTTTCAGGAGACTTGTAGCTCTCCGCCAACTTTCCCATCTTCTGCCTCTCCTTGAAAATCCCCACCTAAGACTTCAAACTTCGGCGATGATCTGCATAAACTTCACTAGCAGGTGGACTCGCCTGCCAGGAACAGTGTGCCACGCATGGGTACAGAACCCCTGGGAACACAGGACCTTTGGGAACAAAAAGAACCAAAAACCTCAGAGATGGGGGGGCAGGGGTGAGAGCCGAGTTATCCAAAGCCTAAATAAGGGAGGAGAGGATTTTACATGATTTGGAGAAGCTCTAACTTTCTGAGGACAGTAAGTTCCTGCTGCTGGTAGGGCCACTTACAGGGATGCCAACTCGGAGCATGATGGCCTGTCCTGGAACAGGTCACACGTGCAAGGAAACCAGATCTGGAACTGGAAGAATGCATCCCTGCTGGGAGGTTGGACGCCCGGCAACGAAACAGGCCTCGCTCAGAATTGCGCAAGGGTTTCCACTAGCAGGTCACGCTTCCCGGCTCAGTCAGTTTGGCCCCAAAGTGGCTGACTGGGTTCGCACTTTCATTTCCTGAACCAACTGCCAAAGAAACAAGTGCCACGGTGCTCTCAAGCCCAGGCCTGAACTTCCTTCTCTTGCCCGCTCATCCCGCGGGGCTGGGCCTCCACCTACTCCCATCCCTGCCCC